CTGGACGCTCATGTTCCACCAGGGCATCGTGGGTATTGGGGTGGAGCACTGAGTGGTCCACAACCTGGGGAGGGGGCTGCTCCTCCCCCTAAGGAGCCCACAGTTGTTTCCTTTTTATTTTCTTAATTACAGCTGAGTGGGTCTTTAAAACAGAAGGTGGTACCTCCCGCGGTGGCCTAGGTAGCAGATCTGCCAATGGCCCCTCCTCCTCCTCTTCTCGCTCGGGCTTCTCCACCATTTCCAGGGCTGAAGGCACTACTCTTTCCTTCCCCTCCCCCACAGCCTCCTGCAACACGGCTTTTCCTGATGCCTGCCCACTTGCCGCTAAGGAGTCTTCTAGGAGTGTGACCTGTCTTTCAGTAACTGTCTCTCTTCTTTAATAACATCCCATAGGTTTTCACCCAGCTCTTCCAAACGATGCTGAAGTGTGTCTCTCTCCCACCTAAGTCCCTCTCTCTCCTCACTAACCCTCTTGATAATCCTCTTTCTCCTGTATAATATTTTCCACTATCTGGATGAAGAGACCCTACAATGCCAGCCACTACACAGCCCTCTAAGGTCTCCAAGCAGTCTTCCAACTCATGGAGGGCTAACTCCGCAGCTTCTGGTGTTTCCACCCTTCCCCAGTTCTGGAGAAGGCCCCACCCCTCTAAGAGGTACTTTACCCAGACCAATTCCCCACTAGGGGTTCCCAAATTAGAAGCACCACAGCTGGGGGAATAATAACAGGTGAAGCTGCACCCTTTGCTGTTGCATCCATTGAGGCCTCTCCACCATCCACAGGGGGGCTTCCAGGCATTTCCCCACCATTTCTCAGGGCAGCCCTTCCAAAGGTTGCACTCATTATGACAGATTTCAGGTTCAGAGGAATCCTGCCAACTTCCGCCAGATTTAAGTCCAGGGAGGCAAAATCCTGGGTCAAAATACCTCTAAAAACTGAAATCAGTCAATGGGAAAAATAAAATTTACAACATGTTTATTGCTTACAAACTGCAGTCCAGCGCCATCTCTCTCTCCCCCTGCTCCGGCAGAAGCCAGGAAGCAAGCAAGCCCCTCCCCTTAACCTCTCAGGTTCAGACACGTCCTCGTTGCCCAAGTAATTATCCATTCACATGGAGATGAACGTCTCTCCACCCTTGAGGATATGCAAATGCACCAAAGCCAGGCGAGATATTCTGGAAATGTTACAATTTTACCCACATGCACTTAAATTGGAAGGACAGCAATTGGAGTTATTTCAGCCATCTGCTGCCACAAAAAACCTAAAGATCACATCAACACACAGTGGACAGCAGATCTGAATTCATACAAGGTAACAGACTATGTCCTGGTGACATCATTTAAACTACAAAATCTATGTCTGAAGCCAGTGCTTTCCCTAGATTTTCAGTAATGTAAGACAGAATACTCTCTTTTTAAACTAATTTGGGTTGGGCTTTCTGTTACCTGCAACAAGATTTTAAAACAATATAGAAGCTCCCCTAAAATCCGTAATAGTTCATATTTCTCTCTAATTTTTTTACAAGAATTCTAGCACATTTTAAAATAAAAAATTAAACCATATCCCAACATTTTAACATAAGTAAGTCATTTGTTTCTAGTTGATATACACAAGCCATTCAATGCTTAAGCTGATAATCATTCTATTCTAAAATGATCCTTACCACCACATCCCCCCAACATGGATTTACACAGCATTCCTACAAGCATCATGAGAGTACATGGACACAACCAGCCCTTGATCACATTCCTCCTAGGAGCCTTTACCTAAAAAGGGACTTCAACTCTGCTGAGGACTTCAATCTCTCATCCAGAATATGTCTTTTGTTGCCCTTGCTATTAACTTTATAAAAAGCCTTTACCACCTCTTTGAGATCAACTCACATACTATCTGGGACTTTAAACCAGTTTCAGTACCAAAATAACTTGTGTCAAAGTTTAGACAATTGAGCCCAATCAGTAACTTCCAACATACAAAGGCAGTAATATCCCTACTATGATCTACCTTTCTTGTCTAAATGTCCTCAGCCGTGGTTTCTTCTATACTGTCACTACCCAAATCTTTTCCATTATGCCCAAGAGAATAACCATTCACTTGTTACTGAACCCCCGTCTTCTTCAATCTTTTTGAACAATGCTCCTTCCATTTGTTTACCTTGACTTAAACCTGACTCCCCCCTAAAGATTTTGAATTCACTCTCTTTACTATAGTCCATGCCTTCCCAGAGCCAGAAGTGATTGGCATTCACGTGCCTTTCTACTGCAGCTTCTAGATCATGATCATCCCCCTTTATGATCCACCTTCAAAATCTATTTTTTCCTAGAACCTTCTGATCCCTTAAGTCATACCTCCTCATTCACAGAAGACCTGGGAACCTAGTTCATAGTCTTCTTTACTACTCAGTCTCTTATAAAAATTCTGGGAGATTTCAATGCCCATTTACTACCAGAGTAAATGGTAGGTGAAGATGACCCATCAAATTACTGTACATCAGAATTCACAGACTGGTAAGCTCAACTCTACTTTAGGCACACATTCCTCAATTCTTTACTCTGCATCTTGTCATCATTTGAAAATGTCCTTCCTCAATTATTCAAATAGCTGACAAAAATCTTACTCTGGTCATACTTACTCTATGATTTTACAGAAACCTCCTATCCCTTGACTCCTCCCATTTCCCCAAACCTGGATCCTATGGGAGGATATTTAAATCTCTTATCAGTAACTTCAGATTTGCACCCCTTTCTCTGAACCCAACCACAAAACCACAGCTCTAGGTCAACATTGCTTCTGAAAACTGAGCTACTCTACAAAGAACAACCACACTTGACACACTGAGACTACTATGAAGTCTCTAACTTTAGTCCTTTAAAATAAAATTGGTAAACTCCCTCTTTTATTCCCCTCAACAACTCTTGTA